AAGGCAAGGAAAGGCAAGGCAAGGAAAGGCAAGGCAAGGAAATTCAAGGCAAGGCAAGGCAAGGAAAGGCAAGGCAAGGAAATTCAAGGCAAGGCAAGGCAAGGAAAGGCAAGGCAAGGAAAGGCAAGGAAAGGAAAGGAAAGGAAAGGAAAGGAAAGGAAAGGAAAGGAAAGGAAAGGAAAGGAAAGGAAAGGAAAGGAAAGGAAAGGAAAGGAAAGGAAAGGAAAGGAAAGGAAAGGAAAGGAAAGGAAAGGAAAGGAAAGGAAAGGAAAGGAAAGGACACAGAAAAAGGCAGAAGGGAAGGAGAAATGTCGTTCGGCAGATCCAGCTGCCGGGGCTGCTCAGTGTCTGCCTGCTACTGTTATTGCTACTGCACTTCTGCGCTGGGGCAGAGGAGAGGGAGGTGATGGTGGTCGGGAGAAGAGGTGGATGAAGAGACAGATAAACATATAAATGCTGCACAAGCTGTTAAAATCTGTTCTGAGAGTCAATTTTGACTTCTAGGCTCATGAACCATTAATAAAAATCTCCTTATACTCAAATGGCTCTCAAATGCCGTGATAGCGGATTACAAACTCCTAATGGAGATACTGTATGATCAAATATTCTCTAAGCAGCAAGGTCTAACGTGCTAGGAGTGTCCAGACCACCTGATTATCAGCTTATCGGCAAATGCTTCTTAGTGCGAGATGTGCTGAAAAGAAAGAATCTTCCTCGGCACCATCTCTTCCCCATTCTTCGTTTAAAGACATTTGGGAAAGGCATCGCGTGGCCTGGGGGCCATGGGATGACCCATGACAATGGCGTCCCGCACACCGCACCGTCGTGGGGCTCGGCCTTGGTTTTGGGTTTTCCCCGTTAGAGATGCAAAGCTGGAGGCACCGGTGGGGACCCACCGTCAGGGTCCCAGCACACAGAGAAAACACCTTCCTTGGTCTCAGATACCTCCCAGTGACACTCGGCCCTCGCCAGGACCAAGCCACTGTATGCGATGTGTAATTACTTGGTAATTAAACAATTTGGAAGGCCAAGGTAGCTTCATTATAGGGAAGGCGAGAGGAGAGGAGGTGCCTCTGTGGGACCAGAGACCTCCTTACAGAGATCCCTGCGGAGCTAATTGCTGAAAGAACCGGACCGCATTTCTGTTGTTTTCTGTTTCCAAGGAGGAGCTGGTTCTCTCCCTGCCTCCCCTCAGGCTCACAGGTAGGGACCCTGATATTTATTCTCCTGTGGATGCTGGTAACAAGAGATGAAATATTTCTGCCAGAGCTGCTGTTGCTTAGAAAATGCATCCTCTAACCCTCTGTGGGGGGCAACTCGCCCTGCAGAGCCCTGT